AGAGGAACTATGAAGAAGTCTGTTCTGGGATGATCTCACGACTCTGAACGGTTCCCTACTATCCTTACGGAGACGCTGTAAAGCGTTGAAAGGCAACTCTACACCGAAGTCGGAATTATCCTCTGCCAAGGTAAAAGAGTCGATCTTCAACCGCAAAGTGTACCGTTGGTTAGCTGGGTCCAAAGGAGCGTGCTGTTCTGGTTATAACAGACAAATTCCCTCACCCATCTCTCTCAATTTAAACTTCATTTTCCATCTTTAAAACTCTTCTATCTTGCTAGTAATCATCCAGATATTTTCAGAAATGTCTGTTGGGTTAAAGTTGCAAGGGAAATCATGGCCGTATGGTTTCCTAAATTGTAAAGCTTGCTAATTAATTATGTTGTTGTTGAAATCAATTTGCCAAATTAATGTAAATGTTTGATGTTAAACTTTGATTCTGTTAATAAATGACCGCATTCATTTGATGGGTCAAAGAAAATTAACGTCTCACGTTACATTTAATTATTCAATGCACGATATTATTCAGTCCAGAAAAATGAAAGAATCCGTTTAATTTATGAATATATCACAGATATATGTTCCTCTACAACTGGTGGCCCGTAACAGGTTCATGAATGGACTGTTATTCGTGTAACAATTGAATTTATCATGTTGACATGAAAAGTGCAGATTTCTGTTAAGCTGTGTGAAACGCAGCTGCGGTGCTCAGAGAAAATACAGTAATGTTCTGTCGCTGTGGTGTTTTGAAAGCTGAAAATAAAGTCAATGTGTTCGTTTGAAAGCTGAATTTGTACATCTGTTGTGTAACTGAAGCTGATGAGCTGTGAAAAACGTGGATTCTGTTTAAACGGACGGGGGTTCTGGTCCGGCTCGGTTCTGATAAGTTCGAACGAGTGTTTTAAATAGATGGAGAGACGTTTTTAAGGACTGAGCGCCGTCTCAGTGAAGCTTTGTGAGTTGATTAGTTACATTTTTAACGGAAAATAGTGCATTTTGACAGTTTAAAAGACGAAAGTTGACCAGAATGTTCATGCTAAATGCTAACACGCTAGCTGAAATAGCGAGCAGCGATTGGTCGAAAACCGTTGATCTGGGTAGCCCTGATTCGCTGAGAGACGTGTCTGTCGTCACTTCCTCTGATGTCAGGTCGTAAAACCCACCCCCGTTGCTGTTCTGATTGGTTGATTCAGTCACGTGACCCGGAAATGAGTCTCGGTTCAACCGAAGCCTTATCTGTGCTTAAAATCACTAAATGGAGCTGCCACATGTACCCAAAACTCATGTTTCATGCAAAAAAGTCGTTCTTGTTGAAACAACACCACGTTTAAGCTTTAAATCCGTTCAGAAATGTTGATTTAACCGAGTTTAGCCGATACTAATTTTAAGCTAAGCGGCTAACAACAGGATGTCAACGAACGATCCACAGGAAGTTGTCAGACTCCTGCTGGTATAAATAAGCTTACACCACCACCTGCTGTTGAAAGAGGAGTATAACAGTTTTCCTGAAGGGGAGACTGATAATTCCTCATAATTTTTTTTTCTTTTCCCTTTTCACCCGACCTGGTTAATGAGTAACTGTTTGAAATAGCGAATTTCTGGAAAAAAACGGCTTAAGAAAGCGTTTAAAAACTAAAGTTGCTTGAAACTTTTAGAAAAATTACAGGTTTATTTAATGTTAAGTGCTTTAGAGTAAATTTCACTGAGATAGCCTGGTTCTTGTATCTGTTAAAAATAAGCACATTAAAAAGTAACACTGCGAAGAGAAGCATTTACTTAAGAATATTCATGAATTGGGGTAAAACCTACAAATAGGTGCCCACATTTGAATAAGTTGACTTATGACAGTACTTTTGAGTAAACCCAGAGCCTAAAATAGTGTGAAACTCAATGACACTTGAATACAAATATTTACCTGTTAAAATAATCTGAAGTTGGCAACTGTTTAATCAGATAAGTGCTAGCACAGTGAATAACCATGGCAGGTGTGATAGAAAAGGATTTTGATCCTTGTGAGATGAAGGACTGGTTAGAGAGAGCGTTGACGCTGCTCACAGGATCCTTACATCCATATGGTGAACAGGTGGACAGCATGAACTCAAAAGAGTTATTGGATGAGCTGAAGGAGGTTGCAGAGAGTGTGACCTCTACAGAAATTACAAAGTCAAGCTATGAAAAGCTGGCTAAATTGGCAATTTTACTGAAAGCATCATTCTATGCTATGGTAAACAAGGCAGATGACCTTGCAATAAGGTTAAACAGTGAAAAAGAGGTGGTTCAGGAAATTGAAGAACACTACCTTCAATTTAAAAGTGAACACGAGGTCCTCACAAAAAAACATTTTGAACAGATGTTTCAATCACAGCAAGACGCACGTGCAGAAATTGATTCACTGAACAGCAAAGTACAGTTATTTAATGCATCACTAACTGAAGCCAGGGATGCTAAAGAACTGTGTTCCACAGCATACTTTGCATTAAGACGGGATCACGTCAAGACTATGTCACAAGTGTCCCGCTGCAAAGCTGAGATAGACGTGCTTAAAACACAACTTTGCCATGCAGAAAGGAAATATGGTGAGAGGGATGGACAGAATGTGGAGACACACTGGGTTTCAGACCCAAATCTCCTCCCATCACACACACCTCCATCCATACCTAAAGTGGTAGAGACAGACCTGAACAGGTTTCCACTACCAAACAGGCAACAGGGAGCATTGAAACTTCCTCCTTCAATAGATGAGTTGCTAAAACTCTCAAAATATGTACAATGCTTTGTACCGGGACCAATGGGTTCAACTGGCACAAAAGCGTATCTCAAAGACCTTGAATTCAGACTGAGTGGTTATCCTAATGCTACGGTTGAGGATAAAATCAGTCTGATAAGGCTCACTTCGGACAGAGAGGTGTTCACCTTCATCGAGCGTCTACCTGATGCAACGAGAAGGGATTACAAC